TCACACAATTCTGTACTTCACACACTACACTAATGAGTGCACTTCTAATGGTATATGTGCTATTTTTACACACTATTTAGTGTGCGATTTGGGACGGGGCATATCTTACCGAGATGAATCATCTTCACCCACTCTTCAGACGCTCCATCATGGAGGATGTGCTCCCGTGCCAGCTAAGCTCGGCTTTACAAACAGCAACCTGACAACCTTTTTTCTGAGTTTAGCTCCACACTTTATTCTTGAGGATTTTATTATAAGATTTTATTCTTGAGGCAGCCATCGCGCTGTTGTTAACTCTCCTTTGAGCAGTAATGTCAAAACGTTTCTAGTGAGTGTGTGAAAGACGCGTAATGACGTCACCAACTAATCGACTACTAAATCAGTTGCCAACTAATTTGGTCGTCGATTATAGTTGACTAAGTCGAATAGTCATCGCACCCCTACTAGTGACATTTCTCAGGAGTCTTCAGTCTCCACTTTGCTGCCTTCAAAATACATTTGTAGCTTCTCAGTACCCATCTTGAAGAATTTTTTTTTTTTTAGTCTGAATTCAAATGTTTTCAGGAGTTTCAGAAGTTGCTGGACTCAACCCGCTAGCTCTGTGTTAGCAGTCATGATTTTGAGACATGGTGACGGTCTCTAATGCTAAATCACTACATTGACTGGATCTGCTGGCTGGTGTATTTATCCAATTGGCTACCAAGTGATGACAAAAGGAAAAAAAAAATAAAGTAAAAAAAGGTGATCGATGAACTTCGATTTGTATCTAGTCTTATTCAAAGGTTTGTGCAGTCCTAGTCAAATTACTTATTTTTATATTCGATTTTTTACCAGTATGTTAAACTCAACAAATGAATAAATATTTAAATAAATAAATACTGGATGTTATGTTTAAGGCAGTTCTTTGCAGAAGATGTGTTACTATATTTTCTCTTCAAACAAAACTTATAATTGACCAGGGGTAATCATGACCATGGATGAATTTCACTGGAACGTGCAACATACGTACATGTATATTGTTGGAAAGCTCAGCTTCTGCAGTTTAAGGTGGAATTTGAAGTTTGTCGATATCTCAAATGGCTGGAAAGTTAAAATTAAATAGAACGTGTCCTGAAAGTCTTGATGGCGTGACGTTCGTTCTTAAAGGGTTTAGCTGACAGCAGCTGTCGTATGTATAAGTCATGTAAATTGTCCTAAGAAAATAGTGGGACCCCTGGTTTTCCTCTTTGTGCTACTTTGAGGAATGTGGCCTTGAAAGGGTCATTGAAAAACACATTTTTGAATTGTATACGTAAACATTGTTAGTTTCGAAACATACCGTTCAGTCCATATATGGAAAAATTAAGCTGCAAAAACAGGCTGTTTTGAAGTAATTGTTTTTATGATGTCACAAAAACTCATTTACATATGTCTGCCGATTTACTTTACATCTGTTCAGTCCTGCCAGTTCATATAAATAAAGAAGGGTCAGAAAATAATCACAAAAAATGAATTATGACTGTTTGTGTAACAAAAGCAAATATTATAAGAGGATCTCAGGGAATAAAACAAAATACAAGAAAAATGCAGGATGTGAGCCCTTTAAAAGTCCTATAACATCACACATTCCATCCCTCAAAACTCCTGTACCGCTGTACATTTGATTGAGAGGCTCGTGTTATGTAAAAAAACGGGGGGACCAGCAAAGCGTGATGTTTTGCGAGACTGATGCACATTTACACAAAACCCCTTTTCATCATCGCTGACCCCCATTGCTCATTCTGAAATCGAGCGGCCTCTTATTGCTTCTCTCAGACGCCCATTTCACCCAGTCGATTTTCCCCCCTGCTGCAGTTACAGGTGGCACAAACCTTTTAGGGATTTTTATGTATACATTCAGCTACTCTTCTGTCAGGTTATACCTGAATGGAGCCATAGGCAGCTAATAGCTTTGAGAATGGCCTGTTTTAAAATGCATGGAAAAATAAATGTAGCCTATGCTGTGGATGCTATACGAGCGAGAGTTCTGGATGCGTCACAGTCCTGATGCCGGCATCAGAGAAAACTGATTCAGTCAGTTTAGAGAGTTGAGTACAGCAAATGGGTAAAGCATTCTTGCTTATATGCAGCACGGCGGAGACGTTAGGAGTCCTGTTTGCTAAATGTTACAAAGTTAGTGTTCAGTGAAATTAGTTGTTAGTTACCGGTCGCTTCTGTAGCCCTGATTCCAGCTACCAGCACTGCTGGATCCAATATGATTTCACAGTCTGTTTCATTCCTCACAGCTGTATCACTTTAACGTGCACGTTTCTGATTGTTTTCCATTAGTTTGCCCCTGGACTTTATCTCCAGTTGAACGTGTTTCATAAATCATACAGTTAGGTTACATTTAGCACCGTCGGCGCTTTAATTGCGCTACTGGGGTTTCATTACATGGACTAATTGGACTTTCTCGTTTCCTGAATGAGGTTCCTCTTCCCCCTGCCCTGTGTGTGGGATGCCGAGTCACCCGCTGGTGTTTTTTTGAAAGGAAGTTCCATCCAAAAAAATCACTTTCATGCTTGCCTTCATTTCACACCCATAATGTGCAAAATAACATGTTTCCAGCTCGCAAAAGTGATCGGTTTCTGTCTGCCAGGCACGCACAGCACATTTCTTTTGTGTCCTAGCAGACTCTTTCCTTTGTCTTGTTTAGGGTTTTTGAAGCTATAGTTTGGCCGTAAATCACATTTGTACATTTCTCCCCAACCCCAGAAGTCAAGCCATGTTTCCTGACCTCATGTTAGCTATCAAATGATAGCTTGTATGCCACAAATTAGCATCATGCCGACTGCATGCCTAAACCTTCATCTGCGCTACATGCGAGTTGTTAATCTGATTTAAATAATCTCTCTTATAGGGGTGGGAATTATTACAGTGTTTTTTTGTGTCTTGCACTGTGTATTACAAAAATGTATTGTGTCTTGTAGATTACATTTATAGCAATATTTATCAAATTGGATGATCTTAACGTCAGAAAACTCACCATCTGTCTCATATGCAGAGAAAGAATGTGTGTCTCGTAATCTGGTCCATGTGCTGTATCAGTCCTGATATGCTTAGTGGCTTAAGAACATTCTAAAGCTGTACAGGGTAGCACGTTTTCATTGCCATGCTTACTAAACTGATAAAGCCTTGCTGCAGCCTTCCATGCACAGAATGTTTTCCCTTGTGAAACACGAACGTTGGCTGAACTGTAAAGCACGCCACCACTGGAGCAGTGGAAACGTATTCTGTAGAGTGACGAATCCTGCTTCTCTATCTGGCAGGCTGATGGACGAGTCTGGGTTTGGCAAACAGCAGGAGAACATTACCTGCCTGACTGCATTGTGCCAACTGTAAAGTTTGGTGGAGGAGGGATAATGCTATGGGGTTGTTTTTCAGGGGTTGGACTAGACCCCTTAGTTCCAGTCAAGGGAAATATTAATGCTTCAGCACCAAGACATTATGGACAATTGGATGCTTCTAACTCTGGGGAACAGTTTGGGGAAGAACCTTTTCTGTTCCAGCATGACTGAGCCCCAGTGCACAAAGCAAGGTCCATAAAGGCCTGGCTGGGTGAGTTTGGTGTGGAAGAACTTGACTGACCTGTGTAGAACCCTGACCTTAACCCCATCAAACACCTTTGGGATGAACTATCGGCGAATGCGAGCCAGGCCGTCTCGTCCAACCTCAGTGTCTGACCTCACAATTTCTGGATGAATGAGCAATAATTCCCACAGATACACTCCAGAATCTTGTAAAAAGCTTCCCAGAAAAGTGGAAGCTGTTATAACAGCAAAAGGGGACCAACTCCAAATTATTGCCTACGGATTTAGAATGAGATGTCATAAAAGCTCCTGTGGGTGTGATGTGTAGGTGTCCCAATACTTTTGTTCATTAGGTGTGTATCACCCAGCACTGTGCTAAATGTTTGGCATGGGAAAATCATTTTATGTCATGGAAATAATAGAATTTCACTGTTTAAAAAGTACAAACCCTATTAACCTTAATTTTAAGTATTCTACCATTTTTCAGTTTATAAGAAGTAGTTACATATTTATACATCCCTTTTTACAAGGGACAGATGTGCTGTAATATTATGTAAGGTGAGTCTGACATAGCAGCAATGATCCAGAAATAGGGTAGTTAACCAATTAGTTAGCCTGCTGTCTCTGTCTCCATCTCTTAGCTCTGCAGAGGCTAAACAAGTGACTGAGGATGCACTCGGCTTCTTCACCTCAGTGTCATTCAGCAGTTAAAACTGGCCAAACAAACAAATGTGTATTTGGTAGTTTCTCTTTGTTTAAAAGGTCTTTCTGCTTTTAGTGTATTTCACTAACCTATCTTGCGTTATTCTTTCAATGAAAATGGGTGACATTGCACAATTATAGGGCCAGTGTGGCTGTGATCGGCCTTTAGCTAATGTTGCGGAGGGATGACGTGATTTTTATATCCTAATATCACATCTGTCAGTAGGTAATTACAATTTCTCCTGGTTTTATGATCAAATATTTGGTTTAGAACAGTGAAAAATAAGCCTCCAAATCTGAAAATTGTCAGGAATCCACAAGAATGTTCTAAAAGTTTGGTGAGTCGAACAGATTTACAAAAGACAAATACTAAATAAAGCAAACAAAAAGTAACAAAACGCACCAGTACTCGAGTATTCAAATCATTCGGGCCAGCTGTATTTGAAAAAAGCTTCTGTTACTTTTTAGCTGCGTTCAGACAGCAAACATATCTTGGCTGATCCACTATATCTGAGGTAAAGGGCAAGAGGGGGAAAATCAGACTGAACTATTACTGTAAACTGTTCAGTTTTGCTGTAAAAATGAATGAGAGTAGTCAGCTTTGCCAAGGAACCAACGTGAAGCTTTGCTCACTCTGCTCTGATGTTCATCAGCCTGACCAGGCTGGGAGAGATGGCGGTCAGGGGTGAGTGTAAACTGTGCTTTTCTTTGTTTTTCTCTGGATAACGTCTTGTTTCTGTCTCACTCTAGTTTGCGGTGCAGGAGACGTTGACAGAGTGCCTGATCTCTCTGGGAAGCAGCAGAGTGCTCAGGTCAGTGCTCTTAAGACTCCTTCTCTTCCAGATCAACCACCTGGCCCAGCACCTCTGGAACGCCTGTCAGGTAAGAACGCAATCGTCTGCTAAAGGGGCGATCACATGATCTGATTTCCGAAGTTTCAGAACCGTCAACTTTCTCATGTCAGTATGATTGCTGACGCTATTTTTATTTGTTTGCAAATCGTGTTATTTCTCGATTTAGTTAATTTGAGAAAGCTTCCAAATTGTCACCCCCAGCAATATTAAATGAGTTGGCACAACAGACACTGTGAAAGCGAAATGTGTGAACGGGAGAGAAAGGAAAACAGAAGGATTTAGGCCTACAGTATCTCCTCCCGCTGAGCTCCTCTCTGGTATGGAAAGCAAGCCTGTCGTTTCTGCGCCCACATTTTATTAAGGAACAATATGAGCGTAGTGCGCTCTCCGTGGGGCGTGAACGAATTCTGCTTTTGTTTAACATTTTACGCAAGGAGACTCTGTTTCCGTTTTGTGTGTCGGGCAGAAAGACAGTTCAATTGCATGCTCTTGTGATTCTTGCAAATATGAACCACAGCCAAAGCCGCTGGGAGACGCTGAGACAACAGCTCTCTGCAGCTTTGACAGCAGACAGTAGCAGATCAGTGTTTACCCTGGAAAATGTGCCAGAGGAGTGGTGTGGCTCCAAAGCAACTTGACAGCTTGTACAAGTGCCCTATCTTGGAAGAGAAGGCCGTACCCAGCCTGTATACGAAGGGTTTCGTCTACAGTATGTCCTAAGATTTTATTGTGAAAATGAGATCTTGATAGATGCATTATTAGCTAGCTATAGCTGTTAGCTGGTTAGCACTAGCTGACACCAAGTATTAACAACATTAACTCCATGTTAATGTACAGTACAGTTTTCAACTGTACCGAAATTTTAGATCGTTTTTTGTGCCACTTTTTTACTTTTATGTTTATGTTGATCTGTGAATTTGAGAACTAATAACAAAAAGCAGCATCTAATTCTGTCTTTTAGCAATAACTGACAAGAAGGCCTTTTAGTGAGTACACTGCATGTGCACCCTGCAACTTTGTTCCTTATTTTAGGGATACATCTGTTTTGTATTTTTTCCTTCATGCTGTCTTATGAATATTATTTATTACATAATGAGGAAAAGTATCACTGATGAACATGATTTTAATAGAATGTAGCATAAAATGCTAATCTGGGTGAACCAGCCCAGTCAGGCCACACTTGCGCTGAGGCTGTTGAGACAGAAGATCTGATGAAATAGCATGGGTTAACTGTGGTTAGCTGTGGTTAACTCTCATCAGCAAGCAGGGAAGTGACCATTCTGTATGGGTTATTAAAGATGCTGAAAACTGCTTCATGTCAGAGCGTGCACTAAATGTCTCATCACTCAACGTGGCCAAGAACTGCTTGCTTTGACAGGAAGAGTCTGACAGGCATGAAAAAGAGGCAAACTGTTTTTTTTGTGTTACATGCAGGCGGATTCTGTTGTTCTCCAAGTAAAACTGTAAAGCTAACATACAAAGTAAATAATATATTGTTTAAATGTCTTACAAGCTTCAAATGTCTGAGTTCAAGCCTAACCTAGAGCAGGGCCGGCAACATGCAGCTCTTTTACTGCCCTGTTTCGGCTTCACAGCAGTTGATTTTTAAGTAAAAATAAAATGATCCTTCTTTTCAGTAAAATAAAGCTCTGCTGATCGTTGAAGCACAGTTTTAGCAATAAGTGGTCTTAAACACTTGAGTTAATGTAGCTTATAACTGCTAATTCACCAGCATTTAACCCTGAAGACTGGCACATAGACTGTTGGTCACATAGCCACACACATAACAGTCTCACCTGGCTGACTTCAGCCTTGTAAAGAAAAAACGAACGTTGAGAGACATTTTACAAGAAACTCCTCCACTTTTGGAAAACTTTCCTGCCGGAGATCCCCTCATCTAGAGTGTGAATGTGAAAGTAAATCATCATTAGCAGTGCTGGGTTTTATGTTAGCGTGTTGTCAGAACACCAGCAGAGCTTCCTTATGTCTGTCCATGTTTATTTATAGCAATATTAAAAATGTTCTCATTTGGAAAACGATATTAAAATACGATTTGTTTAAAAATTTGGACCCTTTGCAAAAATATAATAAAAAATATTCATCAGTAGTGATAAAACTTTGTTATAGTACATAGTATGTGTTGCAGAAGAGCACTGATAAATGTCAAGCTGTAGCTCATTTCACACACTACTTGTATAAGTTTAATGGAATATAATTTTCAGCATACATTGGTGAATTTATTATGTTTGGTGTGAGCTGTCTTACACTTCACAAACTCACTGTTTTCCAGCTAATGAAGTGGAATTATGTGGCTAGGCTAATAAATTCAGCTGTGAAAACTTAGACTATTAAAATTTGGCTGTTTAACTTAAGTAGTTTACACTGGCTGCCTTTCTCAAGGCCGTAGTCACCTATTATGGATTTATGGCCTGGGTCTGGGCTTAATACAGAAAACTAATTGTAAGATGCTGTGTGGTAGCACCGTCTTTGGTTATTTTCTCCCATAGTGTCTGGTGTGCGGTAGATTTTTGTGTGTGTGTGTGTGTGAGAGTGTTATTCTGAACATTTTTTTAAATAATGCCTTACAAACTGAAATATCAAATTTGACTGAAATACCCATCCCTAACGAGGACCGACTAGAGCCAGCGGTGCGGCGTGCACAGCACAGTCCACAGGCCATGGATGCTTACTGGCCTGGCTGCGTCCAAAGGCTTGTTACAGGTGAATCACTAGGATGTGCCTTAATAAAGCATGCTTTCTTTAGTGCACTAAATTCGTCCTTTAAAAGAGGTGAAAGTATTGGCTGTTTAAATGGGTGCATCATTTTTGAATATTTTAATGATTGAGTGCATCTAATTTTATTGACTATTTATTGCAGCCCCTGTTGTTTTATTTGCATGTTGTAAATATATAAAGCATTAATGCGCTTTACTGTAGTAAAATAATGCTTTATGAGATGTGTAAGAAGTCAAGAAGGAGTCTGCCAGCAAGCAGCATTCACTTTGCTTTTCACTTGTTTCTAATTGTCTTTACTTTCCTTTCCATGGACTGGAGACTTCTCTGAGTGGACCCGTCCTGGCCTCAGCCCCTCAGCCAATCCATCACTCCTCTTTCAGTTTTTTTTTCTTTAAATCAACAGCCAAAACCAATAAAAAAGAGGTGACTCTTATAAACTGATTCGGTGCAGTGGCTCCAATTTACGGCGAAGACAATGCATCACCTGAAATTGCTGTAGAAACTCGCAGAAACAGTGAAAAAGTTTTACCTTCGCCCAGAGTGCATGGGCTGTCGGGAAATTTTTAAACAATCAAAGAAAATTAGTTTTGCCTCCATCCCAGGCCGACACCAGGCTCCTCTTGAAACAGTAGCACTGTTTTGTGCCTCTATTCGTAGTAAAATGTTCAATGATTGAAGGAATTACAATTTCTTGTGACAGGGAGATGTCCTAAAAATTGCCAGTTTGCCACTACTTGGCACAACTATCTACAGGATTCTTTGCACAGAAATGCTGGTGGATTTGTGGAGCTCACTTTAATGACATAATAAAGCTGTTGCCTGTATGCCTTTTAAGGCTTGGCAGTCTGCTCTCTTATCCTAAGTGTGACTTAGATGAGTCATTTATGCTTATGCTGTTTTGTGTCAGAGTTGGCAACAGAAGGTTGTCATTGCACTGCTTCAGCTCCGCATGCCTTCGTTTTCTGCACAGCAAGAACATGGAAATTCTGACTTTGGCTCTGGGGATTCAAGAGAACAGAGTTTGCTAATGTGACTGCTTTGCAGGCCTTATCAAACTTCATCTATATGAACAGTTCATTTTCAGAGCGAATGGGTTACTGCTTCCCACGCAGCTCATCATTAATTTTGTGATGACAAGAACATGCAAGAAGAGATAAAGTGAGCCAGTATGGTTGTAGCTTTGGGGAATTTGGTAAAGTTGACAACCATGTGAACCTCTATGAAAACTACCAGACTGCAGCTAATTTGAATGCATGATAGACTTGGGAATAGTCTGTTTTTCTGTTTAAGAGAGAGGGGGAGAAAAATTAGTTAAGAAGCTGCCTGTTAGTTCTCTCTGCTACACACTGTAAAGATAGCTTTACGTACCCCATGTCTTTAGACGTTCTTATTATTTTACTTCACGTTAGGGTCAGCTTGTGTGCATGGAACCAAAAATAATTGCCGACATGTTTTGGAACTAGTAGTAGCTAGGAATCTAGTAACTGGATATATTACCCCGGGGTATTTAGCTTCAGCCCTGAAAGTAGAGAAAGTTGGGAGGTAGAGTAAGTAATTCCAATCCTCATCTACAGCCAGGAAACATGACCAGAAAAAGAAATAATATAAAATGATATGCACGTTAAGTTTTATTTCATTTTACTGTTAAAGCGGTGCCGTATTACGGGGTCTTTAAAAGCTGTTAAGCTTCACCAGAGTTAATCCCCCACACTCTGCTTCATGTGATTTACTGTTTGTGTACAATTTGCAGTGTTTTTTTTCATAGAGTTTAAGTGTCCCGGAGATTAGTTGAATTATGAAAACTCTGAAATTATAATACTACATGTTTTTCCAAAGGCATCTATAGCGGAACTCCCAGGCAACTTTGCTGTGACGATGGAAAATGCCTCCTTTTTAAATACGTAAAGCATGTGCGTATGGCTTTGGAAATTGCTTGCAGTCTGAAGTTTCTCCAGCAGGGAGTGCTGTTAGCACGCGAGTCACTGTGGATCTGCACAAGAAGGAGCTCCTGAACACGATTACAGTAACTCCCATTAAAATGACAAGTGATGTACTTTTTCAAAAGATGTTGGTTCTCTCAGTAATTTATTATTTAATACATGAATGTTTTAAGATTTTCATAAAAAAGGTTATTGTTAAAAAGAAAAATGACCGAAAAATGGCATACAGTGTAGGTCAAAGCTGCAGGACTGTGTATACTGTTGGGGGTGGGTGATATAATTGATAATTGCAGTTTTTAAACAAGAAAATATTGAGCTGACAGTTTTTAGACATCGCCCAGATATGGCCCAG